ATAGGGAAACAACTAACACCAGGAGGTAGCTCATGGATCCAGGAATAAAAGGCAAGTGTTGAGGAGTTGGGGATCTCAGTGGAGTAGAAAAGGTGGTGTCGTTGAGGGGTGGAGTGAGACAGCCCAGAGGATGGGACGCTGTGATCAGAAGATAGGGATATGAGAATTGACAAAGCTGGTGGTGAAGGGGCTTGGGAGCTGGCCAAGTCTAAGGTGTTGCCAATGGAGTGAGTGGCTGGTGTGGAAGTGGAGGATTTTGGACTTGAGGACATCAAGGTAGTTTAAAGTTAGGCCACTGGATGGGTCATCGTCCCTCTCACTGTGGAGCAGTGAAATTGTCCACAGTGATGACAAGACTTAGAATGGAGAAGATGACTGATATCAAAATCCTTAGACTCAGGCTTCCCTGGTGGCGCAGTGGTCGAGAGTCCTCCTGCCGATGCAGGGGACACGGATTCATGCCCCGGTCCGGGAAGATCCCACATGCCGCGGGGCGGCTGGGCCCGGGAGCCATGGGCGCTGAGCCTGCGCGTCCGGAGCCTGTGCTCCGCATCGGGAGAGGCCACAACAGTGAGAGGCCCGTGTACTGCAAAAAAAAAAAAAAAATCCTTAGACTCTGAAAAAATGATCTAGAAGCTGATAGTGGTGAGAAGGGCTAAACAGTGAAAGATCACTGATACTTCGAGAAAGAGAGATTGTTGCCAGAATGTGGGGAAGTCCCAGTGGCAATAAGGAGCTAGGAGAACACCCATACATCCTACCTGCTCTGTGGTATGTTGGACGTTCAAGAATGAATAGGGGGCTTCCCTGGTGGCGCAGTGATTAAGAATCCGCCTGCCAATGCAGGGGACACGGATTCGAGCCCCGGTCCGGGAAGATCCCATGTGCTGCGGAGCACCTAAGTCCCTGCGCCACAACTCCTGAGCCTGCGCTCTAGAGCCCGTGAGCCACAACTACTGAGCCCGTGTGCCACAACTACTGATGTACGCCTAGAGCCTGTGCTCCGCAACAGGAGAAGCCACTGCACTGAGAAGCCCGCACACCGCAACGAAGACCCAACACAACCAAAAATAAATAAATAAAATAAATACATCTATTAAAAAAAAAAAAGAATGAATTGGGCTTGGAGAAGATGATGACGTAGGGAATTTACTTGAAGTTGAATGGGTCTGAGAAAGCATTATGAAAGAGGTAAGGAGTAAGGCCAGTAGAGGAGGATAGGCCAGGAGTGAAATGAAAAATCTTACTTTCTCCTTAAGAAAAAGCAAAAAACACACATCCCCGTGAGACAGGTAGGACTATAATTTTGAGCCGCATTTTAGAGATAAGAAAAAGAGCAAAGAATTGAAAGGCCTTGCCCTTGAGTTAGTAAGAGATCCAAGCTTCTCACCTGGGCCTCTTAACGTGAGGGCCCCCAGGGATAGCTCCCACCAAGGGCAGCTCCCCTGGCGGGTGGAGCAGGAAGGAGGAGAGGGAGAGTTAAGCTGGCTGCTCTCTGCATCCCTAGGCCACCCGGACGTCCCGCAAGGCCATCGCTTTCGGCAAGCGCTCGCACTCCATGAAGCGGAACCCCAGTGCTCCTGTCACCAAGGCAGGCTGGCTTTTCAAGCAGGTGAGGCCTCCTATTCCATTCTGCCCACCGCATCCCTGCTTTCTCCTCATAGCGCTGTAGTTCCTCTGTAGTTGTAACAGCCCATGTATATTTTGCTATGTCCCTCCAGGTCCTATTTTGGTATATCTCTGAGAAATCTCCTAATTTAATAAAGGCTCAGAGAGGTTGAGTATCTTCCCAAAATCACACGGAGAAATTCGTGTTATATTTGGGAATTCAGCCAGGTCTCCTGATGGGCAGATGCAATGACTTTGAAATATGCTGTCATCAACCCTATCAGAGCAACCCAGTGGCTCAGTCAGCAGGGCCCTCTTGCTATGAAGGGAGGGGGATGTCTCCTCTAAGTCTAGGGGTCCAGTTCTCCTCGTTGACCTGGCCACTATCCCTGCCGGACCTTCTGCTCACTCTTTCTGGCTCATCGCTGCACCGTTTATCTTCCCTGGGGGAGACACTGAGGCCCAGAATGACAGAAGTGGAAGGTCACAGGCAATAATGTAATGTCATTCCCTGCCTCTGAGGGCTCTTGGGGGTTGCTGCCACTTGTTAGTCACAGAGCTGCAAACAGAGGCAGGATGTCCTTATAATGAGTGCAGCCCTCTTTCCACTGCACGCCCCCACCTCCCCCGGCCCAGGTCACAGACTATCCTGTCTATTCCCCACTTCTCCTGTAGGCCAGCTCCGGGGTTAAGCAGTGGAATAAACGCTGGTTCGTCCTGGTGGATCGCTGCCTCTTCTACTATAAAGGTGAGCTTGCGCCTGGCACTGGCAGGGGCTGTGGGAAGCCAGGGCCCCCTCTTTCTCATTCTGCCCTGTCACAGGGCTCGGTTTCTGATGGATGTTGGGGGTAGGGGGGGCACATATCCCCCCTGTGGTCTCCAGCACCAGTGGCACGTGACAGGGGTTAAAGACAAAGCTCGCATTCACTCACTCATTTCACATTCGACAGTATTTACTGAGTGCCTCTACGAGATTTCAGGCAGAGTTCTAGGTCCTGGTGGGTGGTGTGGTGGATGAACAAGACAGTCAGATGACAGAAGGTGAAGTCCGGGGGAGGGCGTGGGTGGGAAAAGAAAAGGAGGAAGAAGACGAGGGTCCCTGGTCATCACTAGCAGGTCACCTGCTAACTGGACCTTGTATGTTGAGCTTCCCCCATCCCACTGGAATGTATGATCCGATCTGTGTAGGCAGGATTTTTGGGTCAGTTTTGTTCACTGCTGTACCCACAGCACTGTAAACTGCACCTGGCACATAGTAGGTGCTCAATGAATGTGGAGTAAATGATTATCCCCCAGCTTCTGCCCTCTTTGCCCACCCCAACACTCACTCCCTTTCCTCCCCCACAGAAAGGAGGGCAAAACTCTTAGAACTTTGGTGCAGCAGCCTCTAGGAAGTTATTTTTAAAGTATGTACAGCAACAATATGTCAAGGAGGGCAGGGGCGAACTAGTGAGGGTTGATGACAGTGACGGTTCTGTCACACTGATGCAGTGCAACGAGGCCTGGGCGCTGAGGAGAGGATAAAATGATCTAGCAGCAAGAGTGGCTGTTTCCTTTTCCTCCATGCCCTGGGAATGGCAGAGCTCTGATTTCTCCAGGTCTCCTGGGAGCAATTCACTGAATCATTAACTTTGGCAAACAAAGGTTGTACCTAGTGACCACCCCCACCCCCACCCCCACCCCCGCCCCCGCCCTTAGAACACTGCTGTCCCTGTGCCCTGAGGCACCTGAGTCCCAAGGAGAGAGATCAGGAAGGGGATGCACGTCCAGGGTCTAGTCACAGAGGAAACCCCAAGATTGAGGGAGAAGAATCTGCTCAGGCTGGGCCCCGGGATGTAGGGCCGCACAGGAGCCAGAGTATAACAGAAGCTGGAGGGAAAGCCAGGGTCTCTGCAGGGAAGACACTCTGGGCCTGGTGTGAGGGGAGGACATTAAGAAGCTCTGAACCCAAGGGGCATGGAGATGGAGGGTCACTACGCACTGAGGGGTGCTCTCAGGAGACCCCTAGACACTGGCCTGGACTCAGCCAGGCAGGGGGCCCACCCCCTCCTGGGGATGAGGGCCTCTGCCTTCCTGAAGAAGCTCTGGGCTCCCAGCCCTCCCGTTGCCTTTAGCTTAGTCCATCCTCTGGGTACCGTGCCGAGGTCTGCCCAGGAAACTGGACCTTGGGCTAAGTACCTCGTGCAAGTGACGAGTAAGCGGAGACGGGGAGCTAGTGGAGTCTGTAACCCCTGTGAGATTTCTTCTGAACCCAAGCTGAGGGTCTTACAAGGTCTCTAGACCCAGGAATAAAGAGCTATCCCAGGGAAGTGGGGAGGGTCTTGCCATGGCCTCAGAGTTAGCCCCAACCTCATGGTTCCCACACAGCAACCCTACCCTTTCGGTCTCCTGCTGATAGCTGGGGGCCTGACTAGCTAATCCTTCAGGCTCCTTTGGAGATTCGGGATGAATTATGCAGCAGCCTGATTGTTAGCCTGCTTCTGGGGATCAGAGGGCGGGGGGCCGTGTCTTCTGTGCAGACATGGGGACTGTAAAGGGGAGGGGTCTAGTCAGGAGAAGACAAAGCAAGCTGCCAGGTGCCTAGGAGAACCTTAGAGACAATTACCCAGAAGAGCCAGAGCCGATGATGCGAGCGTCCCCTCTACCGCGCCCCATCCCATTATATCCTGTTCCATGTGTCACTGTTGGGATCACCTCGTTTGGAGAGGCGCTGTGGATGGGAGGGAGGTTAAGAAAGCTATAGCTCGAAAGTCAGACTTCTTGGGTTAAAGACTAATCCACCACTTTCTGCTTAAGTAACCCTGGACAAGTTATTTAATCTTTCTGTGTCTCAACCTCCTTACCTATAAAATGGAGATCGTAAGAGTACCCATTCATAGGATTGTTGGGCAGGTTAAATCCATTAAGCCTTTAACTTAGAACATATAGCAAGCACTCCAAAAGGTTGGCTCTTCTGTGCTTGTTTGCTTGCATACTGGAATGTGAGCTCCCCAAGGGGGGGCACTACTACTCTCGCATTCACCTCTACAGTCCCCAAGTCTAGAACAGTGCCTGTAGGGCTGCCACGCTCCCCAGCTCCAGGGAGTGTGCCTCTTGCTGTGCAGAGCACGCCCTGTGTGGTTGTGTGGTGGCCCCGAGTGCCTGACAAATAGTAGATGAGTAACAGATATTTGTTGGTATTTATCCTAATAGGGCTGATAGCCTCCCCGCCCCACCCC